CAGACCCCGACTCCAGACACCTGGCTGAGGCTAGACTCCACCCAGGCCCTGCCCAGCCCGAGAGCAGCCCCTGAAGTTAGACCCTGACTCCAAACCCGACTCCAGACCAGCGATCCTAAACCTTCCTCATGCTGCTACCCTTTCACACAGTTCCTCATGTCTTGGTGACCCCCCAGCCATAAAAAAGATTATTCTCGTTGCTACTTCATCACGGCCATTTTGCTACTGTGATGAATCGGGGATCCCCGTGAAAGGGACCCCAATGGGATCACAGCCCCCAGGCCGAGAACCGCTGCCCTAGCCCCTGGCGGAGGCCACTCCCACGCGGAGCCGCCCAGGCGCACCTCCAGCTGCAGGTCGCGGTTGCGCATGAGCGCGGCGCCCTTCTCCTCGCTGAGGCGCGCCAGGCGCAGGGCCAGCTCGTAGTTCTCGTCCTTGCAGCGCTTGAGCTCGCGGGCACCCCCCTCGGCCTCCTCCTTGAGCCGGCGCACGCGCTCCTGGTGCTTGCGCAGCAGGCTGTCCTTGAGCCGCAGCTCCTTGATGAAGTCGTCCTTGGCGCTCAGCAGCGCCGTCAGGTCCTGCACCTTCTTCTGCAGCTTCTGCACCTCGCTCATCAGCAGCTGCGTTAGGCCGGACTCCCCAGAGGCGTCTGCGGCAGCCAGCCACGCACTGAGGGCCAGGCCCTGCCCGGGGGACCCCGCTCCCCACCGGCTCGGCCATCGCCCCGGCCTGCACCCCACTGGACCAGCCGGCGGGTCCCCTACTCACCGATGATCATGGAGAAGACGCGGGCCGGCTCCTTGCCCGTGACCTTCCTGTACAGCTGGGGGTAGTAGAGCTCCAGGCTCTCCAGGAAGGCCACGTAGCCCTTGTGGCCCGTGCGCTGCAGGATGTCCAGCAGGACCCCTGCAACCAGGCCGGGAGGTGGGCGAAGGCACCGGGCCGGGGGACCAGGGCAGCCTGGTGGGTGTCTGGAGGGCGCGGGCGGTTGGGGGGCGGGGACACTGACCCACTTTGCGCTTGCGGATGACCAGGCTGGGGTCGCTGAGCACCTGCTCCTCGTCGTCCGGGTGCAGCACCTTGCACTGGCGCAGGTAGGGCGTGATGCGTGCTGGGTCGATGACGGAGATGAGTTTCACGCGGAAGCTCTCCAGGGCGGTCCAGCACTCGTCCTCGTTCTCGTAGTCCGACATGGTGGCGGCGGGACCGCGGCCTCGCCCTGCCCACGAGCAAGGGGCAGGTGGGAGGTGGGCACACACACACACACACACTCCTGGAGCCCTGGCTCGACCAGGGACCAGCCTCCCTTGGCGGCCCTGGCCCAGAGGGAAGTGGGGCACGTGCTGGGATGCGGCCTCCCGCCTCTGCAGCCCTGTGGGAGCCTGGCCACTGGGGACTTCCTCCTTCCCGGGAGTGGCAGCGGCCGTATGTCACGCACACCAGCCTCCGTCCTGGCCCCCCCTTCCTGCCAGGAACTGGTGATGCAATGAGCTGCTGCAAGGTGGGAAGTGGCCCCAGGGTATCTGCCTGGTGCTGGCACTCTGGGAGGGCCTCGGCGCACCCACAGGCAACCTGGAATGCCGCTTCACCAACTTGTCCGGTCCTGGCACTGTCCCCGTTCCCACCCGTGCCCAGGCTCCCTCCCAGGTGAGGCTGCTGGAGACCGACACTCAGCCCACCCTCTGCAGACTCCCCCTGGAGACAGACCCCACCCCCATCAGACAGGCTAACAGCTTCACAGCCCTCTCCCTCAGAGTCCCCAGTCCCAGCAGAGCACCCAGCCTCAGACAGCGCCCCTGGGTAAAAGGAGAGATGCCCGAGTTCCCCCTCAGACAGAGGCCCCAGTGCCAGCAGATCCCCTAGCAGAAGCCACATCCCCATCTGGCCAGCCCCGGGTGGGGGCCCTGAGGCCCCACTGAGTGGGGGCACCCAAGTGGGGTCAGGTAGGAGCTGTGAACAGATGCCCCGGCCTTCCCAGCTGAGATCCAATGGCCTCAGTCTACCCCCGGTGCCTGTGCCCGGGGAGTCGAGTCCCCGGTGAGCCTACCTCAGGTGCTGCCGCTGGGTGCTGCCGGCCAGCCCGGCCACACTGGGCTGCTGCCCCAGCCTGGTACTCAGGAGGGTGGAGCTGGGGCCCTGGCACTTCCTGTGGCCCGCAGGGGAAGTGGGGGTGTGCTCTGAGGGAAACCTCAGGAAAGCACTGGAGCCCCCGCCTCCCCGGCACAGTGATGGCCTGACCGGTGCTCGAGTGGAAACCAAGGCCTCCCCCGCGCTGGACCGAGACGGTCAGTCTCGCCACTCTGGCCCAGACAATGGTTTCTGGAGGCTTCCCCAGTGGGGCGCTCACTACGAAAGGCTGTCCCCATGCACATGTGGGGGCGGGGACACAGACTAGTCTCAGGGGACAGCTGGCTGGCCACGCCTCTGCCCCAGGAGGGGGATCCTCAGCGTCCATGGCCAGCACAACCTGTTGGCCGGGTCCCCAGGTCAGGCTGTCGCAACACTTGTTAGAAAGGGGCGGAGTCACCTCCTGGGTGCACACACCCGAGGCGAGCCAGAGGCCAGCTGAGGAGGAACTGTGATGTGGCCGGGGTGGGGTGTGCGTGCCGGAGCACATGGGGGGCGGGGCCCGGACAGGCCACTGGGCTTCACCAGTCAAGCCCCCAAAGGCTGGGACACAGCGGTGCAGGCAGGAACACCCCGTCAAGCACTGGGCAACGAGGGTGGGCCGTGGGGGCGGCAGTCATTGTGTGCGGTGTTGGGCAGACGGCACTGTGTGTGTGCTCGTGCTGTGTACACCAGCCCTGCTACGTGGGCTGCAGCCCCTGTAGGCAGAGCTCCCTGCTGCCTGCAAGGGCGGTGGGCTGGCCATGGGACTGCAGCAGCCAGAGGAGGCAGGACACCCACCCCTCGCCCCCTCGCCCCTCCCCAGCACAGAAGGCGCTGCATCTCGATGAGGAGACAGGCCTGCCTTTATTCTCTCCAGTGATCACGGTGCACTTGCCGCAGTGGCCTGATGTGGGGTGGGCTGCAGTGTGCAGGCCCCAGGGACCCGTGGGGGGTGGGGTGGGGAGGTGGGTGGGACACCAGGGCGGCTGGGGGAGAAGCTGACAGCGGAGCCTTGAGGGTAGGCTCCTGGGCCGCACGTCTCCCCATCCGTCTGCAGGGTCTGCTCCCCAGCCTGGGCCAACAGCACGTGGCTGGACCTCCGCTCCAGTGATGGGCAGACACAGACAGGCCGGCGGCGGCGGTGGGCTGTGCCCTCACGGGACACAGTACCGCAGACGGGTGCTGGCACAGGCATCCCAAGTGGCCGCAGAGACCTGACGACGGAGGCACCTGGTTCACGTGGGGCCTGTGTCCAGGCAGGAGGCAGCTCCGGAGGCCCCTCTGCCCCCGGGACTAGGGGAGCCCCTCCCTGGGCAGCCCCTGGGCTCACTGCTCAGGACAGCCGCCTCCGCTTCCGGCTGTGCCTTGTCCTCAAGGACCAGAGGTCATCTGGGATGTCTGAGCAGCAAGATGCAGCCACCTGGACAGGGAGATGGGTGACCCTCAGGCCTGGATACAAGTCGGGAGGCCAACTGTCCCTAGCCCCAGGGGAGCTGTTCGAGGCATGACTGAGGTACTGGCCGGGAGAGGAGGGTCCTCTATGCCACCAAAGGTCTGTGGGCACTCTCAGGCCAGGGCCCCAGTTGGGCTACAGCCTTCCCTGCCCCTGCCAGTAGTGGCTGCAGACATGAGCTGCCTCAGTGGGCCAGGGGTGGATCCTGAGGGAAGTAGTCCTCCCCTAGGAGTACCACCCACTCCCACTGCCACACAGGCCAGGTCCCTTTCTCCCTAGCACCCGCCAACCGGGAGCCCCTTCCTCTCCAAGGCGACCTACCTGCGGCTGGGTCCCCTCAGGGAGCCCTGTCCCATCAGGAAGTGTGGGGCCCTCCAGGTCCTCACACTCACTGTCAGAGCCCAGCCTGGGGGTGACTGACAGGGTGGTAGGGATGCCACGTGGAGGGAGGGTGGCCAGGAGCGCAGACAGGGAGAAGGTGGCCAGGAATCGGGCCTTGAGCAGCAGGTAAGCTGGGCTGTCCCTAAGCTGCACATGCACCATCTCCCGGGCAGCCTCCAGGGCTCCGGCGGGGGGCAGCTCCTGGCAGCCGGGCACCAGGGTGGCCGCCTCCCGTGCCAAGGAGTCCTTGTGGAGCAGGAGGCTGGCCAGGGTCCGCAGGGTACACAGTGTGGGGGGCTGGTAGGGCAGCCTGCTCCCCAGGGGCAGCACACACACCCCCTGCTGGCCCCTCAGCCAGGCCTGGGTGGCCCCTGGGTCCTCCAGGGAGATGAGGCTAGTGACCAAGGCGCCCTTCCTGGGGCCAGGTGGGGGTGGCTGCTCTGGGGCAAGAGGGCGTCCTGTCTCTGAGGGGGTGCCAGGTGATCCCTCGGGACTACTTAGGCCAGCCCCACTGTGGGAAGGCAGCTCTGCTTCAGGGGGGCTGGATGGGAATGCGGCCTGGGAGGGCGTTTCAGGGGGTGGAGCACTATTTCTGGGAGATGGAGGCCTGAGGGCCAAGGCTGGGTCTTCAGAGGCCCCTGCAGGGCTGTGAGGGGCAGAGGACATTGCAGGGGCTGAGACGGGGTCTGCAGAGGCCCCTGCAGGGCTGAGAGAGGCAGGGGATGTCCCGGGGGCCAAGACTGCAGGGGGTCTTGCAGGGCTGTGAGAGGCAGGGGTCGTCCTGGGGGCTGAGACTACAGGGGCCCCTGCAGAGCTGTGAGGGGCAGGGGGCATCACAGGGGCTGAGACTGGGTCTGCAGAGGCCCCTGCAGGGCTGAGAGAGGCAGGGGCTGTCCCGGGGGCCAAGACTGCAGGGCTGTGAGGGGCAGGGGATGTCCCGGGGGCCAAGACTGCAGGGCTGTGAGGGGCAGGGGGCGTCACAGGGGCTGAGACTGGGTCTGCAGAGGCCCCTGCAGGGCTGAGAGAGGCAGGGGCCATCCTGGGGGCCAAGACTGCAGGGCTGTGAGGGGCAGGGGATGTCCCGGGGGCAGAGGCTGAGGGCAGCAGGGTCAGTGAGGCTCCTGTGGGCCCAGGCAGGTGCACCACAGCTGGCATGGATACGGGCAGCAGACCCTGGGTGGTGAGCACCCAGGTGACAGGCAAGGAGGTGTTGGCTGCCACCGGGGGCGTCACCAGGCGAAGGGTGGGCCACCTCGCAGAGCTGGGGACTGCGGGGAGGAGGGGTGGTAGCTCGGGCAGACCCTGCTTCTGTGTCATGCTGGGGACAGGGACATGGTGTCTGGAGGCCTGGTGGGCAGAGGTCCTGGCCCCCGTAGGGGTGGGGGCCAGGGCTTGCTGGGTCCCCCCTGTGCTGGCTGGGGTCTGTGACCCCTGTGAGGGCCCAGCACAGATCCCAAGTCCTGGGAGTGGCTGGTTGCAGACAGCAGGGCCTGCGGCTGTCAGGCCTCGGGGGGTGGGCTGCAGGGCAGGCAGGGGCGTCCTGGGTACGGGGAGCAGCATCTGGACAGGGGGTGGCTGTGTGTGTTGGGTGGCCCTCTTGGCCCGGGCCTCCCTCAGCCTCTTCTCCCGAAGCAGCTCCGACACAGTCTTGGGCTTCGGCCGGGGGCCCAAGGGGGCCAGCTGGGGAGTGGGCTGGGGTTGGCGGGATCCCTGCGCCCCACGGTCCTTGTGGCCAGCCCTCTGCTTTGTAGTTTCTTGAGCCGGCCTGGCTGGGAAGAGGCCTCCTGCAGGGAGCAAGGCCACCCAGGGACCTACCACCAGTTTCATGCCACGCATGCCCACCCCCGTCCCACCAGCCCCAGGCAGCAGCAATGTCTGGGCAGCCCGCCCTGCCCAGTGGGGCCTGTCCTGTGGGCTGCCTCCGCCCCATCCCTGACCACCTCAGATGGGAGCGGGCACCACCTCTGCCTCCTCCCTCCTGGGACTGGGTACCAGGTCAACCTCTCCCACCCAGTCCGTTTGGGACTCAGAGGAGATCCGTCCCGTGGCCGCCAGCCTCCCTGCTGGGCCATGCGCCTGGGCAGAGATGCACAGGGCCGTACCTGGGCAGGGCCTGGCCTGGAGAGAGACAAGGGCAGCTGTCAGCATCCTCTCCGCCCTCCCCACAGTCCACCGCACCAAGAGTCCCTACGTGCAGAACCCGGGACCCCCGCCTAGAAGACCCTGGCTTTGCTCAGGCCCACCCCGACCCTTGCATGGCGGGGGCGTCTAGGGGCTCGCTATCTGGGGAGTGCAATGGGGCTGGACCTAGTCTCTGACCGGTGACCCAGCTTCTCAGGCTATCGGGGAGACAGGCTAGGCCTGATGCTCTCTAGGTCACCGGACACAGTGCGGGGAGGGAGGGAGGGTTCAATCACCAGACCTGGCCCGCCCACAGAAGCCTGGGAAACACCGGGCCCTGGCAGCCATGCCCCGAGCTGCTTGTGCTGGGCTGCAGAGGGAAGGGCACCCACGCCCACCTGCAGGCAGCCTGGTGCGGCGGGGCCGGGCGGCGGGCTCCTCCGCTCCCCGATGACCTCCAGGCAGCCGTCAGTGTCAATCTGCAGCAGCTGAACGGGAGCAGCATGGAGGCCCTGCCTGAGACCCCGCCCTCCCACAGGCTGAGGCCAAGGCGCTCAGGGACTAGGTCTTGTGGCGCACGAGGTCGAGACCTGCCCTTTGCCGCACAGGCCCCCCTCGCCCCGCCCAGGGTGGACAAGCCTGTAGAAAACCGCCCAGCAGGGCAGCCCCGCCAAGGCCCGAACCTGGATCAGCAGCGTGAACACCGGCGTGCTGGTCAGCTGCACACTCCGTAGCTGCTTCTGGACGCCATCGGCTGAGGATGGGGGCTGTCAGGAATGGGGTTCTGGCCCGGCACCGCTCCCAACCCCCAGGCACCCGGCAGGAAGGCATGCTCGGGAGTGAGGCCAGCTCCTCCACACAGGACCCAGGCCATGCACGAGGCGAGGGCGGGCACAGCTGCACAGGGCCACACACATCCACGCCCGCAAACTGCCCCCATCGCCCCAGCTCCCACCGTAGGCCACCCCACCCCTCCCACACACGGCCACCAGCACCTTGGGTGGACACGGCAGGCCTCTGAGGTATCTGAGTATGGGGCAGGATCACCCTGTCCACCCAGGGGCCCACGGCCATCAGGAGGCGGCGGGTGAGCAGCCTTCTCTGCAGGGTGTGCCTCTGTCTGCGGCGCTGCTGCCCATTCAGGGTGGAGCCGGGCCACAGGCACCGCACCGGGGGCCCCGCCAGGTCTGGCCGGGGCAGCTGCTCCTTCTGCAGGAGGGATGTGGGGGACAGGGGTGAGGGTGGAGGCTGGACGTGTACAGGTATCACACACGTGTGTTTACACAGGGGCACTTCCGTGTTCCACGACCTCACATGCACACGTGTCCCATGTTCCCCCGTGTGTGCAGAGGGCAGGCTCACCACGTCGTGGGTCGGCTGCACCGTCTCCAGGGGCGCCTCCTGCAGGTGGCTCCTGGTCTGAGGAGAGGTGGGTTGGGGCTGTGGCTGGCTCTTCTCCACCTGCCCGGCCGTCAGGGGAGACACCACAGTCCTGGCACCCACAGACAAGGGGCCAGACGGCAGCATGGACCACTACCACCAAGCGCCCCAGATGCCCCTCCCCACTGCCCAGCCGTGCCACCAGCCCCGCCAGGGGAGGCCACCTGTCCAGCTTCTGCGAGAGGCGTGGGCACTGGGGCTGCCCGAGCAGGGGCAACTTTGTAGGTGCAGGACCCATCCTCACGGCCCGGCTCGTCAGGGCTGCCCTCAGTGGGCGGGGCTGCAGTGGGCACTGGGGTAGTCGTGAAGCTGCGGGCCAGCACCGAGTGGAGGGGACGCTGTGCCCATGGCCTGAGCAGTGCAGCCTACCTCATCCCCTGACTCCTTGTCTCTGGCCGGGCAAGTGTCCGTGGAGCCTGGGATGCCGCAGTGGGTCCCCAAGGCTGGCCCTTTCTTGTTGCTCTGGCGGGCAGCTTCGGCCTCTTGGGGGTTGCTGGTGAGGGCCAGCGGCAGGCCCGGCCAATCCCGGGAACTCCCTTTCCTCGGCGCTGGGCCACTTTGCCTCGCAGGCACCCACAGGTCCATGCTGGGCACCATGTAGGAGTCTGCCTGGCCACCCCCGCGGGGCCCCGGCCTGTGGTCTGGCTCAGCCTCTGTGTCCTCGCTGCTGCTGCTGCTGCTGCTGCCCAGGTCCTCACCCTCTGTGCTGTCTGAGCTGCTGGAGCTCCACCGCACGCATCGCCGTGGCCGCCGCCGCCCTTGCTGGCCCCTCCGCTTCTTCTGTGGACAGCCGGGAGGGCGTGTGTCCTGAGGCCGCGCAACAAGGGGACCCTTCGGGTTTCCACCGCACCCGCTAGCCCCTGGGAGAAGGGCCATAACCAGAGCCCCTGTGCCACCTCCGTTACCCCAAGCATGATCTTCCACTTGCTGAGACACTGGGAGCCCGTCCGATGGGGCAGCTCTGCTGCGATCTTTGCCCAGTGGCCTGGGGAAGCAACAGGACACGGAGCCCAGGGGCTAGGGCACACAGCCCGCTCCGCCCAGGCCTGTCTGCCTCCCCCACCCGGCACACCAGACTGCAACACGGGGGCTGCAGTCAGCCTGGGCACTACTCTCTGGGTCAGGCCTGCTCCCATGGTCCAGGGCCCAGGATCCTTCACCCATCTCCCCACACACTTTTGGAGGCCCCATGTGGGAACCGGAAGCCTTATCACCCTGGCCTTCAACCCAGTGGGCTGATAACAAGGCAAGAAGGGGACATCAGTTCCTCGTTAGGAGCCCCGCAGCCAGGAGGACACATTCTCAAAGGCTGATGGGATCCGGGGGGTGCGGGGCGGGGCACACAGGGTACCTCGACACTCAGGTAAAGTGGCTGAGGAGGCAGAGTGCATGGGCTCCCAGATGTTTACGGGCACCTGCGAGCCACGCAACCGGAATGAGGTACAGCTGCCCCACCCACAGAGCAGACCATGGGGACCAGTGTCCGTGAGGCCAGAGCACAGGTGGGGGTGGGGTGGGAGGGTCAGGACACACCGACTCCGTGCTTCTCGATCAGCTCCAGCAGCTTCTCCTCTTCCTTGGGGTTCCAGCGCCCCTTCCTCAGGTTGAAGCGCAGTCTCCTGAGATACCTGGCTCGATGTGGAGACAGACAGACAGATGACGGCTGAGATGAGAGGTCCCACGAGCCAGCGTGGGGTGAGAGAGGTAGACGTATCCCTCCCACAGGAGTCCTTGGACCAAGACCTCTCGCCCGTCCTTGGCAGCCGCCTGGCCACGCACCTGAGTGGCCCTCGTGCACCAGTTGAGCGGGGGTCCCACCTGAAGCTGTGCCCAGAGGGTACCCTGCTCGGACATCACAGAGCCAGCAAAGACCCTCTCTGGGCCACAGAACTCCTATGGCAGGAACCCCCACCTCAGGCAGAAAGACCCCTGGCTGAGCTCACCGGTCCCGGCACTGGGCATCGCTCCGGCCCGGCACCTCCTCCCGGATCTTAAACCAGTCATGTTCGCCGTGCTTGGCGACGGCCTGCAGCAGCTTCTGTGAGGGGAGGGGCACATGCAGACACTGGGGTCTCCCCTCCTGGCTCCAGGCGCCCCCAGCCCACCGGCAGCCCGGCTGCACTCACGGCGTCCTCCTCGGGGGTCCAGCAGCCCTTCCTCAGGCTGGGGTCCAGGCTCTTGGTCCAGCGGTAGATGAGCTGCATGGAGTCCCGGCCTTCCATGTAGTAGACAACTGCAGGCAGGGGCTCATCTAAGAGTAGGCCCAGGGCGACGCCCTGCCCCCCTGCCTGCCCACGCACCCGCCCGCCCGGCCCACTGGCATACTTCTGCGGTAGGGGATGTGGCTGCCAACCCGCATCTCCTGCACCAGCTGGGTGAGCATGCAGTCTTCCTCCTCTGTCCACTCTCGGCGCTTCAGGGCCCTGTTGTGCTGCTGGTACTTCTGCAAGCACTGGAAGGGGCTGCGCCGAGTCTGCCCGGCCGTGCGGGAGAGGGGTCAGCACGCGGGAGAGGAGGAGCGACTACACACAGGCATGTTCAACTCTCAGGGTGGAGACCACCCCTTGCCCCGCTTCTTGACCACATGGGAAGGGCTCACGGCCTAGCCTGGGCAGCACGTGCATGCTCTCACGCATGCTCTCATGCATGCTCTCATGCATGCAGGCACTGCTTCCTTAGCGCGCTGGGGGTCTGCTTCGGCTACTGAGTCTAAAAACGTGACACGTTGAACAGGGTCTGCCTTCTGCGCTGCACTCTGACCGTCCAGAGTGAATCGTCAGGACCTCGGGACAGAGCCGCTCAGCACACCTGGGGCCACTGGCCCTGGAAATGAGTCACCCTGGGGCCAGTGGGGAGAGACCGGCCCACAGCTGCCTGTGGTGGGAACTGGAGGGGAGGGGTTCGGCTGCACTGTGGGAAACAAGAGACCCCGAGGGGGAACCCAGAGGGCCCAGCCCGCAGCCTCACCCCTAGCTCCTCGGCTATCTGCTGCCACTGCAGGTGGCCGTGCTGGGCCGACAGCACCTGTAGCCGCTCCACCTCCTCCGAGCTCCAGGCCTGCTGGTTGATGCTCGGGTGCTCGCAGTTCTGCCAGAACTTTCGGATCTCCTCCGCGCTGCGGCCACCTTCAAACTGCATGGCACAGACCCCTGCTGGGCCCATGGCCAGCATCCTGGGGACCCCCCCCTCTCCCCCGCCACAGCGCTGGCTCGGGCTGAGCAGCCTGTCCCAACCCCGGTGCTCAGTGCCAGCGAGGTGGCCCTCTGGCTGAAAACTAGCTCTACATGCCGCCCCCCACCCCCCCTCTTGCAAAGGCCCTGGTGGATACCTGGACACACATTGCACCTGAGCCCTGGCTAGGGGGAAGGTCAGCGCCAGGCACCAGGGCCACACTGCTACCACCTGGGGCTGCCTGGCTGACTGACAGTGGCCCTGCCCTTGGCCACAGGTGGGAGTTGTTGGGGCCCCCTCTCTGCCCCACACGCACGTTCACGTTGGAAATCTTCTCCCAGTCGTGGCTGTCCAGTCTGCTCCCCAGGAGGGCCTCTTCTGGGAGCTGGCTGGAAAGAATGAGGTGTGGGAGACCATGCGACCTTTCCCATCCCCTGGCCCGATGCCCCACCCACCCAGCCCTGCTCTGCAGCACCGCCTCACTGGATGTCCGCGATGTCCCTCTCCGCGTCCTGGACCTGCTTCTCCAAGAGCTGCTTCTCCGGCTCACTCTGGGCTCGGCTCTGCTTCTGCTGCAGGTACTCAAGTCTGGGGGTGGGCAGCGGGCACGTGGGTCACAGGACCCTCCACAACACACTGCTGCTGGCAGACCCTGGTGCTCAAGCCCTGGGCCCTGGCTTGCCCCCTCCTCCCCCTGCAGCAAAGGGTGGTGGGGGGCTTCACTGTCTCCCAGCCCCTTCGACCAGACCATGCTATCCGGCAAGTGTCCCTGGAGCAGCCAAGCCTGCCCCATGCCCAGGACGGCATCTGGTGGACCAGTCACCCCACTGGGCAGGAGCCCACTAAGGGGAGCAGGGGCCAAGGACCCAGGACACACCCGGGTCCACCCAGAACCTAGAGGCCCTTCCCTGGGCCCCCTGTGTCTCCAAGTGCCTTGATTCTCATGCCACATCGAGGCCATGGCCGCGGCATCTCACTTGGCGTGCTTGGCACAGAGGAACGCCATGCCCCGACTCACTTGAGGAGCTTGGGCTGAAGCAGGCGCTGTAGGCGGTCGCTCACCACAGCCTGGCGCAGCAGGGCCTTCTCCCAGCTCTTCCCTGCGGACACGGCAAGCTGAGCCAGGCTTCGGACCCCATCCCCAGGGCCAGACACCCTGATGTCTCACCCAGCAGGCAGGGCCGATGGCCAGCAGAAGCCACGGAGCTGCCAGGGTGTAGGGGCACCAGCCCAGCCCTGCTGGTGCTTACACTTAGTGACCAGGAGCTGCTCGAAGGACTTGACGCCCTGGGCCGCCTTCTCCCGCGTGTCCTCGTTGGCCGGGGGGCCCTGCAGAGACCACAGCGTCAGGATGGGCATGGGCAGTCCCATCAGCCCCCGACGCCCCAGCACTCACCACGCCGGTGACCTTGTCCTTGAAGTACGGCTTCATAAAGTGCCCGATGTACATGTGGGGCGGCAGGCTCTTCCTGCCCTTGGCCTTGGGGCCCTTAGCACCGGCTAGATCCCACATGATCTCCTCCTGCAACACACATCACAGAGGGCCAGGTGAGGGGGCATTTCCAAAGGCTGGCAGCCGGTCAGAGGTGCCCCTGGCCCGCCTGCCCCACCACCTGCTGCGCACGGTTCTGGGCCAACAGCAGGTTCACTTCAGCCATCTTCTCCTGCACCACCTCCTGGTAGACCATATTCAGCTGCAGGCAGGTCTCTGGGTCCTCAGGGAGGTTTCTGTCCCTGGGCTCCTCCTCCTCTTCCTCCTCCTCCTCGTTGCTGGCCTCACCCCACCTGTCTTTTTCCTAGGTCAGAGCCAGACCCCACGGGTCAATCGGTGGGGTGCACCTCCTCTGCCCTCCAGGCCTGGCTGCTTTCCGAGGCTGGCTGGCCTGGCATTCCCAGTGCCCTGTGCTTGGGCCTCAGGAGCTAGCCCCGGAGGATCGTGCCCGTCCTCAGCCAGCCGGGGGTTCATGTCCTCCAGAGAGGGGCCCCTCGGCCGGCCGGGCTGGTCTTTTCAAGGGAACGTGGAGGGGCAGGGTGGTGGTGAGGAAACTGGAGACGTCACTCAGTGGGCCATGCGCTTATGAAATGCAAAAGAAACAAGGTAAGGCCCCCGCAGCCCTGCCCTGGAGGATGGGCACTCAGAAGCTGCTAAGGGCTCTGGCGTGTTGGCGCCTGGGCGTCCACTCAGTCCCCCAGGCATGCAGCCAGTCTGTGCCCTCTGACGCGGTGGAGGAAACACAGGTCAGCATGTGCCCTCGCCAGGCTCCCAAGGCTGCCCCGCCCACCCCAGGGGTCGCCAAGCAGCGAGCGCCCAGGGGTCTTCCAGGTCTGCTCTTCTGGAAGGGAGTTTGCCAGGCCCTCCTCCCACGGCACCTTTCCCTTGCCCTGCAGCCGAGGCACAGTGACTCTCTGTGGGCACTGATGTGGCAAGCGGGGCACCAACAGGATGGCATGCAGCTCTGCTCCCCTGCTTCTTGGGCTGGTACCTAGCTACCCCTACTGACAATCACCCTGACAGGGCAGAAGCTCAAGGAGAGGCAGGGGGTGCTGAGAGGGGAGGGACACTGACAGACAGCAGGCGGTGTCCTGGGTCAGCTACCCAGCAGCTGGTGGGCTCCTTCTCGGCACACCCTCCTGCTCATGACAGCCCGTCCCACCTGTGCTGTGATGCCAAGCCCGCCTGCCCATCCAGCGCTGGACCAACAGCCCCCTCGGCAGAGCAGACAACCCCTGCTTACCACGATGGGGGGGCCAGGAGCATCTGAGTCCTCAACGAGCAGCGAATCTGAAGAAATACAAGCACAGAGCTGGGGACACTCACGGGCCGTTCAGAGAAGGGGCCTCAGCAGTGCCGGGCCTGCACTGGGCACACACGCAGCCTGCCTGCCTGGAGTACAGGGCCCTGGTGAGCTCAAGAAGGGCTTGGGCTGCAGGGATGTAGCTATCCCTGCAGGGGTGCAGCAGCCAGAGCTGCAGAAGTGCCCCCTCCCCCAGGGCTGTGCCTTCCACCGGTCAAGAGCTCACCATCGTCAGAAGCCGAGTCGAGACTAGACTCAGAGAGATCCAGGCTGACGCCCGAGGAGCCCGGCTCCAGGATCCTCTCGAGCTCCCGGATCTCCTGTGTGATCTTCGCCCGCTCCGAGTCAGAGTCCATGGTGCCTCCCACCCACTCCACGGCATCTGTGGCGGAGAAGAGGCACAACTCAGAGAGGGGTGGGTGTCTATGCCCCCCCCACCTCCCAGGGCAGAAAGAGCAGGCAAGGTGGCCAGCAGGTGTGGTGGTGGATCCTGCTCTCCCGGACCCCCCCTCGGGGTGTGTGGGGGCAGTTGCAGTCCTGAGTGGTCACAGGTGCCAGAACAAGTCAGTGTCCTGCCTGGGCAGCCTGCGGACCTTGTGTCGCACCCCCGTGGGATAGCGGATCCCAAAGGATAGAAACCTTTACCAGGAGTGCTGGGGCGGGAAGTCTCCAGGGGCAGAGAGCTGCGAGCAGGGTGGGCAAGGCATTCCCCAGGGGAAGTCCGGGGGTCAGGGGTCAGGGGGCACACACTGGGGTTGAGCCTCCTCCAGGGCCCCACAGAAGCTGCTGCACTGCCTCAGAGCCGCACGCGGAGGCTGCGAGATGGGTGACGGGGGCCCCCCACCCCGTAGCAGGGCCGGCGGGACCACGGTGGCAGCCGCCCTCCTGTGGCCGCGCGGGGGGTCCTCCTGGGACCCCCAGCGCCCAGGACCCACCGCGGAGCACATCCGGTCCCGGGCCCATCCGGACAGTGGGCGCCCTCCGTGCGAGCTGATCCCGACCCGTCTGCACTGCGGGTCGGCGCGGAGGTGGAGACGTCCGGCAGACAGGGCCCCGGCGCGCTCGGCCCCCGGGCAGCGGCCACGCGGCCTCAGTTCCCCGGCACCC